GGCAAAGGTTTTATACCTATGGCACAGAAAACCTACGGTGCAGTAAAAAACCTACGCCGCAGTAGAAAACCTATGGCGCAGTATTAAACCTATGCCACAGTAGAAATACTATGGCGCAGTATAGAATCTATATCGCAGTATAAAATCTATGTCGCAGTAGAAAACCTATGGCGCAGTATACACCTTTGACAAATGACAAAGCCGAAGTGGTACAGTATCGTGAACGAGTGCGAGGGAGGTCAGGTGCGACGCCTGTCTTAAACTTTTCCCAATTACAAAAACCACACCGCAACCCAAATTAAATAAATAGTTAACAAACTTAACAAATAATGCATTAGGAATGCTTACAATTAAAGTTAGTCTTTCTTCCTACTAAATAAGATTAATTTTACACTAGCACATACGTAGCGCGATAAGTTCAATGTATATTAAACTTTATGTTCTTAAAATAAGGTGTAAAGTTCTATGAACACATAAAATAGCTTCGAGACTTCGGATATTTTCAGAGAGCAGTATGCTTAGACAAACTAATCATCATCAAATCAAGACAAATAAGTATTTTGAAGTCGAGTGACGTGCTTTGATTCTTGTGCTAGTATAAAATAATTTAGGCTCAAAAAAAATCTCACTGGATCTATGATTTTTGGTTGAATCAACAGCTTACATAAAATAGATAGTAAATGTATTATTAATTCCCCTCCCAAAGAGGTTCATGGAGACAGCTAAGTATTCAAAAATCATTTCAGTCTACAAAGTAGCTTTAAAGCAAGGAAATTAATTCTTGTATAGAATAAATGTCGTTACTGTGACGTAGCTGTTATAATAAACAATCAAAAAGTTTTATCGCGTTTAGCATTTTATGATTAAAGGTCCCGATGTAGTTCGAAACGAGTCGAGGATCAATTACATAAAACAAGTTTAACTTTTATAAATATTAAGGGTTAATGTTTGCCAGTTCAGACATTTATTCTAATACAAAAAATAGTTAATTAGGAATGATTAATATAGGGATTTCAAATTAAATTTGTTACACTAATTTTACTTAAAAACTTCTTCTAATCTTATGAGGTCGAGAAATAATCAAATAAATAAAAATAATATTATACAAAAATGGTGATCAATCAATTTTCAACCTTATAAACTGTGGTTTGAAGTTGAGAATCGATCAATCAATATCGAGCCCTGAAATTACAAAATACCAAATAGAACAATGACTTAACTATTAAATAATAATTATTATTTCAAAAATTGTAATTATAAAAAACAGGCAATGTAAATTTAATTCTCATATTTAAATAGTGATATGCGATCTTATGATAAATGCAATTTAAAAATTAAATAAAATAATAATTGTTAATTCAATTTAAAATGGCTTTTAGCTAATACAGTTTTATTTCAAAATCAATAAAATTGTATTTTGATATAAATAATTTCCATAATTCAAGATACATACATGTACAATGAAATTCAACTAAAAATTGGAATAGCTATGATCTTTACAAAAACACCTTTTTTATCTTTGTTATTGACTCAGTCTACTTTGACAGATATGACGTCACAATATGGCGGATAGTTGATCCTATTCTCAGTTGAACTGCACCATACAAGGTTTTTTTAAGAAATCGAATTTTTAATTAATAAAAAAATGTTTGAAATACCTAATCAAATAACATCAATTATATCCTTAACCTATAATCATGACATTAACCAATTAAAAATAAGCGTTGAATTTCTTGTTCTAAACTAACAGCGATTAAAGAACTTATTCTAAAACGAATAGTGTCTAGATTCGCTTATCACCGGTTTTTGAGCATATTTGAAACGACTAGCATGGTGAAGCTACCTATGATATAAAGAGTTGCCGGAATCGAGGCCAGGAGTTTGTATCTTTCATCTGTAAAAGAAAAGAAAAGGAAAATATTAGTTTAATATATGACTTTCTCCAAAATATACACAGAAGTTTAGCTCGTTAAAGACTAATTATTACTTTTTTTATACTATCGTGAGACATGATCCATTAGTATACACGGCTTAGCTTAGCCTCTTGCGTGTTTCTCGTACACACGGGTGTACGAAAGAGTTGAGTGCCCATCGCGCAATTGTACACACGGGTGTACGAGTAACGCGCACCGATTGGATATTTTTTCTGTGACGTATATTTTCAAGTTTTCAACCCGTTCTTTATTTGATTGAACAGAATAGTTAATTCGCTTTTCTATTAAAATATTTACCCGTGTGTACGAGAACGCGCGTTTACCCGTGTGTACGAGAGGCGCGCGAGAGGTTAGTCACGTAACTGTTCAAGGATGCTCGACAAGTTACAAGCTACGACCGGGGCTCATACTCCTAAGTCGCACGCCTAACGAACGACGTCGAGTAAGAAACTAATGAAGGAGCTTCGTACAGTTACGTGAAAAATCTTTGTTAGTAAATCTATTTGTTAGCCAAATCTTCTAATATTCTATATCTAAATAGTGTTAATTTACAATGACAAAACCCAAAAGGAATGTATGACAAATTAAATAAATGATAGAAGTGCGAAATTTTGTGATGTCCAAACAAATAATATTTATATTGCAACTCAATAGCATAATATATAAAATAATGCTTTGTGATAAGGTGAGAAGGGATAAAAAGAAAATAATAATTGTAAATACTTATCGTTTTGAAATCACAAAATTCCGCATAAACTCAGCCGCAACACGGTGTAGTTGGAGCACTTAAACACTTGAAATACTCTTTATATGTGTGTGTGTGTGTGTGTGTATGTGTGTAAAATGCGCAAACCTAATTAATGCGCAAATATTTTGCGCTAAATTATATCTGATGGCGCAAACTGTTCTGTTAGTACTATTCTTATTTGCGCAATAAGAAGTACATATGTAGTTGGACTAAAATGTTCTTAACTTAATAAAACGCAATTTTGTTTTGTATAAATTTATACCACCTATTAGTTATGACCCCATAAAGCCTAAGAGTCTCATGTCTTAATACTAAAACGGTACTCAATTTTAAATCGCACTTAAGTATAGTTCTGTCATTATAATTTCTTTGTAAAATGACAGAGATGGAACGATATTTAAGTACAACTTTTAATAGTATTAGTAATAGAGTAGCCTTTCAGTATTAGGACGTTAGGTTAAGATTAATCTATTATTTACACAGTAACTATGGAAAAAGGTAACCAAAATATTTTTATTTGTAGAATAATCTTTATTTTAGAAGGGGGGGAAATCATCGAATTACTTCTCCCGTCTGGGTGAGGCAGGAGGGAGTGTCAGAATCTTACTGACTAAAAACCACCCCGTTCCTACTCCTGCACTTCGACCCGGAGCCCCGGTAACCCCTTAGGTTCTCCACGGCTCCGTATCGGCATCAGCCCTATTGGTTATTTTGTCTATTGGTGGTATATTTTAGTCCCAACACTATTCCTATAAAGGATTCAAGAACACGTGCACTTAACAATTTATAATTCTAAATACCAGATAACTTATTCGACCTTTCTGTTGCAAAATAGGTGTTTTCATAACGTTGTAGACTATATTGTTTATTGTAAACTGAATGACTCTTAAGTCCTATAATAAAATCACCAATAAAAGATAAAAATTTCCAATTTATGTTATAAAAAACTTAATGACTGCAAATTTTATTACCCAATTACCTTTGTTGTAAACGTGTAAATCCCCTTTTTGTCGCATCATTGCATTTTATCTTTATTATCTACATTTTATTTATTTATGGGGGTATAAAAACAAATTTTTTCACGTTTTTGCGAACATTATCAAACATCTTGTCAATAATAACTCATGTATTTTAATAGTACTACTGAAAAGCATTATAAATGTAAAATGTTTGTATGTTCACATGCCATTTACGTCGCAACAGCTGCACACATTACGATGAAATTTGACCTGATTCAAATTTTGAAGTATTCTTGATAATGTTTAAAATAAGTATGGTACCTAGGTTCCTACAGGAATTTGGATGAAACTACTATAATGAATTATATTTTTATTTCAGCCAATAATATTAAAAATATAACTAAAAAACGTAACCAACCTTTTTGAGTTTAGTAATAAGTCATGCGATGGAATTAAGTTGCATGTGCAATGACCATGCAAAAACTACATGCAAAGGAGTAAACCAAAATAAATTAAAGACCCAAGAGGATAAATAAATATTTTTATTCAAGATAAACCAGTCTTATTTTAATGTTAGTAACATTTACAATTGACGACACAATATTCTAGCGAAATAAGGAACTAAAATTCTAAAATAATTCATTTGAAAAGGGTCATATTTATAAAAAGGAGATTTTACATTAATTAATTGAGAAATAAATTATACTGATGTTCAAATACTTGAGTTCAAAAATCCGCTTGCATAGTCTAAATTGGTGGTTAAAAAATGTAACTTAAAAAAAACTTAAAAAATAAAATATAAACTATTCACTCCACATGACGTTCGATTAAAAAAAATTGACCCAATCCATTGAAATATATTATCTGTGGTTTGTCTATCTATAGACAATATTATTATTTATACACTAAATGTCTTTTATAATACCTTGGGGATCAGAAATACATAAAATTTGGCTTTTAAAGAGTATCGAAATTTGATTAATTAATTTTAAATTTAAACTATTCTAGTACTTTCATTACTTTAAGTACATAACGCCTAAAAATTTGAAACATAATTCGAAAATATCACATTTTTAATAATAACAAGTTTTCATCAACTTTCTAAGACTGATCTACATAACAATAACACCATATATATGAATATATTCGTTGTTGTACGTCATTTTGACATTGAACCTAATTTTAACCTAGAATTTGCATTCGATTCGCATATTCAAGAAAATTGGTAGTTGAATGTGTTTATCCTAAGATAGTATTAGGAACTCTATGGTGGCTGTGAGTCCAAGCCAGGCCAAAAAGCCGTTGTTAGCCCCAAAATAGGTAATAACAATAACTACACATAGTTTTTAAGAAACCAATTCACGTTAAAGGACTGGAGATTTTATTATAAATAGTCTTAAATAGAGCCGGGAGCTTTTCGAAGTTAATTTTCTTCGTCAAACTCGCAGCGCCCATGCTTAGCGCAGAAGTTAGGAAGACTGGCTCAGCGGTCCTAACTCGCTCAACCATTATAGGGTTATCATCACAATCGAAAATAATTTCCGGATCATTCTCGATAATCTCCTCGACTGATTGCCAGTTAGTTTGCACCTTCTTCTCAGGAGGGCAGCACTCACACATGCCATAATCACATTCCTTTTTGCTCATAAAATACTCCGCGTCATCTAAAATTGTATGTTCGGTTACACGTTTTTTGACGGGGACGAAAATGGAGAATTTTCGAGCTGAATACTGTAAGAGCTCTTCTACATAAGAATTAACGCCTTCATCGAAGTTTTTATCGGATTTTATGTCTAATAAGTTTATGTTGTGGTTTTCAAAAAGCGAGTTTTTCCTACTGTCCGGTAGAGATGGTACGTCAATGCTTTGTTGAGTCATCATGCTACACTTTCGTTTGGCCTGACCTGTCATGGTGAACGATTTTTTAGTCGTCGCCCAGCCGAGTGATCGCTGTACTGCCATCTTCCATTTTGTGTATCTTGCGTCGCGATCTGGAAGAAAAAGTATTGGTATAATAATATAGAAAAGCCTTTTTAACCTTAACTAAATGATAAGGAGATCAATATATTTCCATAACCGTCATACAAGTTTTATGTTTGACTCTAATCTATAATTGACAATTGGCATTCAATTAAGCTTGTGTATCCACAATTTATTATGAAAAATCCACAACATGTGTTCATACAAAAGCAGTCTCTAACCTCGGAAATAAGGTTTATAATTGAGTAAGTGGAAAGTGATCACCGGTGACCGCTTGGGGACTCGGCAATTAGACCGGTAAATCCAACGCTTACGAGTCATTAAGTCTTTCAAGTAAATAGACACCAACGCGTAGTTAGTCCCTATAACCTTGCAATAAATACCTAAAGTAAAGTATTTAAAAATCAATTTAATTCAGTTTAAAAATGCTGGCTGTCTGTATGACCCTGCGAGCGACAGAGAGCCGCATATGATACGTACCATCATCAGTGGTAGTAGGCAGGAAGGTGTCGTTGAGCGTGGCGTGCGTCCTCCACTTGTCGGTGCTCCAGACGCCCACGGCGCCGCCCGCCACCACGGCCACGCCCAGCGTCGACATGTCCCACGCCTGGGCACGCACTGGGACGACATATATTTATTACTAACGATCTCAAACATATTTGTTCAAATACACAAACACCATTCAATCCGGTACTTGCCAACTAGTCAAATTAAATACTTTTTTTGAACTGTCAAAGACGACCGTGTTATATGAATTTCATAAGTGTGGGAGAGCCATGCTTCGGCACCAATGGGCCGGCTCGACCGGAGTGATACCACGGCCTCACAGAATACCGACGTGAAGCAACGCTTGCGCTGTGTTTCGTCGTGTGAGTGAGGTTACCGGAGGCCCAACTACCCTCCCCTTCCCTAATCTCCCCAATCCCTGAATCCCCAACGATCCTCAAACTCCTAATCCCCAAAAGGCCAAAAACGCACTTGTAACGCCTGGTGTTCCAAGTGTCCATGGGCGACGCCGATTGCTTACCATCAGGTGATCCGTATGCTAGTTTACCGGCTTATGCCATAAAGAAAAAATGTACGAGATTGTGTATTGTGACGTGACGTTTTTTAGCGCCAAACAGCATACTTATTTCTTAAAAATTTGCTGGACAAATACTGAAATTAAGTTGGTCATAAAATCAATTGATGGAACTGTTATTATTTTTTAATATTTTATTGTATTGAACAGTTCAAATAATTTATTTTAGACTAAGAAAAGTACCGAATTTTAAGTCGCGCGTAAGTATAGTTCTGTCACTGCAAATTTTATGTAAATTGACAGAGATGGCACGATATTTAAGTACAGTTAAAAATTGAGTAGTCTTTCAGTATTTGGTTCATTGAGTCTCTAAGTTGTACATTTTCAGTCTTGTTCAGTTTATTCCGACAGAAAAAAAAGTTTCATGACTCTTATTCTTCATGATGTTTATAGAGAGAGATACACACATTAAAACCACATTTTCATCACGGGGTGATCCTATTTACTGCCATACGTTCATTACTAACAATTTTCGAAAAGCGAAAATCTCAATAATAATGTTTTCCATCCTCTATAAGGGACCTAAGACCACTCGCTTGTCAAAAAACGGTCCTGAATTGAATTACAAACTATTTAATTTTCCAAAAAGTGTTAAATATATTTATACTTACACACAGGTATACCAATAAGGTCGGCTTGCAGCTGCATGAGAAGGTCATTCGAGGTCATCCTGCCGTCCACGTGGAGCTTGGCCAGGGGCATGCCGCAGTCTTTGTTCATGGCTTCTAGGATATCTCTGGATATTAAATAGATAAGTGTCATGAATATACTTCTAACTTTTAATATTACTGGGTGTCCACTGTCCACAAAAATTCATCCAGTGATTTATGATGCAAACAGACAAAACAGATTTCAAAGGAGAAATTAATTTCCAAATTCTACATATATTATGCATAACTGAAAAATTGGAACTCGGGAGATTTGTCCTATTTAGAGATCGAGATTATAATTAAGACTTTGACTGCCAATACAAAACTGTTGAAGGTAAATCCTCCGCTAACGCCGGTCACCGGTGACCCCCATGGCGTTTAACGTGTTAATCTTGTCTTACAATAACTATATTTACCTCGTCTGGAAGCACACAGCTTCTAAAGCAGCTCTGATGATGTGATTCTTAGTTGTAAATGCAGTCAAACCGCAAATTATTCTGAAACAAAAATATACGATATGAAATGAAAACTTATTATAATTAATCAATCAAATCAAAATTACAATAGATACTTAACCTCTTAGGAGAAAAATAACAGACTATCTTACATAAAAACTTGTAAAATATTTGAATGCGCAAACTTGCGCAACTGTCAGTCAATTTGCGCAAAATCCTGTACTTCTCATAATTACTATATATATAAAATTGTGTGAAAACAATTGGGCAATAGGCCACAAAAGATCCCTTCCCGGACAAACCGCCAAAAGTACATATTATCAAATATATTTACTTTTGGCACTTGTAAAAATTTTATTTTTAAGTGACAATATTATATTTATTCAACCAAAGAAGTAAACGTATATTCTATTCTATTTGCGCAAACTTTGCGCAGGTCTCAAAACATTTTTGATCAACTTACCCTCGAGCATCTTTCCTCCAATAAGGCGCGTATAATCCACTGAAAGCCGGTACAAAGTACACATCTCCCGTAGAGAATACTTGGCCGGCAATATGTTCTGTATCTTGTACGACGTCCTTGATAAGTCGCAGGTTGTCGCGCAGGAACTTCATTGCTCCACCTGCTACGGCTATGGAACCTGATGACAAAAGAATATAATATTTAATTTGTACATTGTACAAGACTTACAAGCCTTGTGCTTAAAACCGGCGGCTTTGTTTAGTATATATGCTAAAGATGAAAAAGACATAACAAATCATATTTGGCGTCTTTTTGAGACAGGTTCTGTCGAGTGTTAACCATTCCTCAGTACAATCAAGTAGTAATTTTTCACATCCCTATTGCAGAGGATAGAGTCTGTAATTAATTATGTACAAATACACTAATTCATTTGTTTCACTTGTTTATCTGAGAGTAACATCGCCTGGGGTCTTACTCTTGAATCCAATTCCGATCGATCGACATTGGTAAAGTGAAATTTCGCACTCTTGAGCTGCAACACTAGCGCCCATTGCATCAGTATTGCGTGGATATTTAATGAACTAAATGGTATTGAGTTTGGTTTATATTCCGTACTCTGAATGCTATTCTGACAGCGTTTTTTTTTTAAAGGGGGAAAATCATCGAATGACTGCTCCCGCCTGGGTGAGGCGGAAGGGAGTGTCAGACTCTTACTGACTAAAAACTACCCCGTTCCTTCTCCTGCACGTCGAGCCGGAGCTCCGGTTACCCGTTAGGTTCTCCGCGACATACATATTATACAGATAAGCCGGCATTGAAACATAATTGAGATTTTATTGGATTGAAAAATTGCATTGACATTGAGATTGGTTTCAAGAGTAATCACCCTGGTCTATCAAATATTATTAGCTCTTAGGATATCCACAAAAATATTAGTAATTGTGCAAGTGTATTTTATTTAATATGCTACTTACCCTCTAAAGCATAAACAGCGGGCGTATCAGGTCCCAATTTGTAAGCCACGGTAGTAATAAGTCCATGCGTGGACTGCACGCGACGTGTACCAGTATTGTAGAGAAGGAAGCAACCACTACGGTATGTATTCTTTGCTTGACCAGCTTGGAGGCAGTTCTGGCCTACGAGGGCTGATTGCTGGTTTCCTAGTATCTGTTGGAGAGAGCATATTTTTTGTAAATCGTTCTAGAAAGGGGAAAAGAATATTTGGAGAGAACTTCTCCCTCGAAAATGAACAAAGGCTCAAGTGGCTTCCGATCCGTCTTCGCAGGAACACTCGCATTTTGTGCTTCCTATATAACATCCTCTTCAACCCTGCCTATCCTGCTTACCTTCGGGACCGTTTCTCCTTGGTTCGTCCTCCTGAAGTCCTATCTCGTTCACACCTTAAATCTAATCTTCCTTAAATCTATTCCACAGTCTATCGCTATCTTTAAAAAACGAGTGAGAGAACACTACCTTTCCTCCTGATATGTAAATTTCTTCATTTATATGTATAGTTTATGTTTTGTATGTATTTATTTATATATTGTATGTAGTTGTTTGGTTATTTATCTGTTAGTTTTAAGTCTGTTTACTATCCCAATTTTCTATTTGTTACTACACACTGTGTCATTATATTATTATTACTTTTCCTGCTCCAGGTCCACAGGAAGAAATTCCAATAGGAATATGTGGTACCTTTGTACTTTAATTTTATGTATGTGTTGTCCTTTATGTTGTATGTGTGTACATGAATAAATAAATAAATAAATAAATAAAACAAACCACTTCATCATAGTTAGCGATGTATTTGTGATACTGCCATTAGACAGGCTGTATGTTTTGTTGCCATCGACAGTAGTATGAAAAGAAAATATTGTGCTGAACCCATATAATAGTTTTTTTTTTTTATAGACGTTTGACCACTATCTCGCCTGGTGGTAAGCGATGATGCGGTCTACGATGGAGCATGTCGTCACATAAGCAACCTATTCAATCGAGCCTTGCAAACACCCAGGTTATTTATTTTTCATCTATTTATTTTTGCACGTAGGCGTTGGCATGCTTTAGCACGTATAGGGCTTGCTTGATTGGAGTTATACTACGGCCTTACAGAAAAGCAACAACAATACCTTCCTTTTTTTTTAATAAGCATTTCATTACTTACGCCAGATATCCTGATTCCGTCAACAATGGAGCCATCTTTCACGGTGCCGTATATTTCTGAGCTGCTTCTAATTGTGGGCAGTGTGTCTCTATGGATACCGAACAACCTGGAAAACAATGCATTATTATAATAATTAATTTTATTGTATACTTTCACCGACACCAGTATTATAAAATACACTGTTATTCGATGAAGACGACTAAAATTTTTATAATTTACTGTATAACAGATTGGCGCAAGAATGGAACATGTTGCGCAAAAGGCGATCATCATTGCGCAAACCAATCGTAAATCGAGCAACGCGATATTTTCTGATAATAATGTTCTGGTGTAAAAATATCATACATGTGACCGAAAATGAACTTTACCTGCACAGAATAGGATCCCAATTCAAAGTTTCCAGATTCATGAGAAGAGTTCTAGACGCGTTCGTGACGTCAGTTATGTGCAGGCCACCGTGGGGTCCACCGGTCATGTTCTGAAACGAATATTATCATTAAATCTATTAAAGCTACATACTATGGTGTATATGGGAAGTGTGTATTATCAAGTGAGGGAGAGCCATGCTTCGACATGAATAGGCCGGCTCGACCGGAGTGATACCATGACCTCACAGTAGACCGACGTGAAACAACATTGCGTTGTGTTTCGTCGTGTGAGTGAGGTTACCGGAGGCCCAATTACCTAATACACAATCCTAATATTCCTAATCCAGAAAAAATGATGAACTTTTCACAACAAGATATTATTTAGATATTAAAATTAGATTCTGGGTATGAAAACTCAAAACAAACACTCGCCCCAACGCAATTATTGACTATAATTCATTATACAATCTTTAAATATCTCTTAAACAATGGACTGATAATATTCACCAGTCAATTTTGATAACTACAACAGCAATAAGGCCATTATTTTTTAACCAACCAACAAAACAGCAGCAAACAGGTTAGAAGCAGCTCAGAAATATATGGTGGAAACCTGAGTAATACGATGAACTCGAGTAGTTTCAAGCGATGCTATAGGCCCGTACGTACGCTTATATGCACGTATACAGATAGTACTTAGTAGCAGTGCAGGTCTCGGAATGCTGCTCATGAATGCGCCTCTAGCATGGCTTGATACTAGTCCAGTTTCTCGTCAAATAATTACGTGAGTAAGCCAAAAACATAATAATTAATTTAGTATGTCTCACGGAAGTTATGATATAAATACAGAGTAATGGTGTTCACTCCAGTTTAAAACATACCTAAAAATATACATTTGTTTCAAAAACCATAAACTGGCTACTCACCCACACGATCCAAGTATCAACAGTCCCAAACAACAGCCTCTTGTCCCTACTAGCTCGTCTAACAGCCTTCACATTATCCTTCAACCAGCGCATCTTCAAAGCACTGAAATAAGGTGATATCGGCAGACCGCAAATGTTCTTAAAGTAATTCTTGTTTCGGTCTGGGATCTTGGCAAGGATCGCGTCTACAGTGCTGTCTGTTCTGATGTCATTCCATGCTGGAATCAAGATAAAAGATATTGACAAAAATCTTCAATAAAGAAAATAAATAAACCACCAACCTTTACTAAATTTCAAGAAACCCGTCGTCATTTTTATCATTTTTATGTTAACCAACCTATAATTGACACCTAACCCCCGTAAAAGGGTTTTTTTAAGGGGGAAAAATCATCGAATGACTGCTCCCGCCTGGGTGAGGCGGAAGGGAGTGTCAGACTCTTATTGACTAAAAACCACCCCGTTCCTTCTCCTGCACATCGAGCCGGAGCCCCGGTTACCCGTTAGGTTCTCCGCGACAGTTTAGGGGGGCTACATCACGCTAAGTGACTTTTAGTTAAGTGACAATTTTGGGGTAATTAGTAAAAACGACCATAAGAAAACTAGTACAAATAAAAGATAAACTTATTTCTTCTATAGTCGCCTCCTTGATTACAAAAATAGAGTGGCCAGTAGATCAACCACTCTGTGATTTTCGACTTTATGTCAATACAATAGAGTTGCAGATGTTATAAAAAATATGACAGAAAAGAATAAGTTTACCTATGGCATACAATACATTTTGTAGACGAAAATAGTGCATGACGTCACAACTTAATATATTTTGTGCTTAGTGCAATGTGATCCCAATACGGTGTATGTCCCTGTGTTTTATCTCAAGTACATAACATACATCACGCCTTTTATCCCCGAAGGGGTAGGCAGAGGTGCACATTATGCCACTGTACAATGTAACACTCACTTTTCACTATTTATGTTATGAGTCCCATGTAATAGGGGGTGAGATCTCAGACATCAGAGACTATCTCAAGTAGTGGTATGAATTTTTTGAAGTACATAGTGATGTGTTGTATGGCGTAAATGACATTAAATATACATCACTATTTCAACATTAAAGCTCAAAATAATATTTTTGCCAACTAAAAGACAAAGGGAGTTCTAGTATATGTATATATTATATATATGCAAAAATGGAACCAGTTGCGCAAAAGGCGATCATCATTGCGCAAACCAATCGTAAATCGAGCAAGGCGATATTCCATATATATAAAAGAAAGTCGTGTTAGTTACACCACTTATAACTCAAGAACGGCAGAATAGATTTGGCTGAAAATTGGTAGGGAAGTAGCTTAGAGCCAGGAGACCGACATAGGATACTTTTTAACCAATTTTTTTTTTACTTTTTTTCCGAGAATCACGAACGGGTACGGGAAAACATGGGATGGTACGCATACGAAGTCGCGGGCAGAAGCTAGTTAGATATATTTAAAAGATTATATAAACCGTTATTTTTTACCTATAGCAGGATGCAATGGCTCGCCCGTATATTTGTCCCAGGCTATCGTTGTCTCTCTCTGATTTGTGATGCCCAACGCTACTATATCGTCTTTGGTATATCCTGAAAACAAATATATAGCATTTTAAATTTAAAATATAATACCTGTTATTATCTACGGGGATAAACAAAGGCACATATAAATAAGTGAGTGTAAAAATAAAAATGAGAATAAAAAACATAACGTCACGCCTTTTATCCCCGAAAGGGTAGGCGGATATACACATTATGCCACTGTACAATGTAACACCCACTTTCCACTATTTATGTTATGAATCCCATGTAATAGGGGGTGAGGCTATTGCCATATAACGGGCACAATTCCAGACTCCGTGCTACCACTAAGATTTTTTTTTAAAACCCCGTAATACTTTGCCTGACCCGGGAATCGAACCCGAGACCCCTTGCCCGGCAATCGCACTTGCGACCACTCGGCCAACGAGGCAGTACATAAATTCAGTAAGAGAATAGAAAATAAAATGGAACCATAAAATGAGGTAACTCTTTAATCTTTGATCTATTTAATTATCTTATGTGGTTTAACTGCATTCAATTACAGACCCAGTGTCTTATTTAAAAAAAAATGAATACTTTAAAATATCTTATTAGTATTTTTTTTTAAGGGGGAAAATCATCGAATGCCTGCTCCCGCCTGGGTGAGGCGGAAGGGAGTGTTAGACTCTTACTGACTAAAAACCACCCCGTTCCTTCTCCTGCACGTCGAGCCGGAGCCCCGGTTACCCGTTAGGTTCTCCGCGAATTTTATTAGTATAGTATGCAATGAAATTGAATAAAATATCACAACAGTTCAATTATCAAGATGAAAATTAATATTAATACAGACGTTATAATTGTATTAGCAAAATATTAACAGATCGAGTAGATATTTCCAATCTAGACTTGCTAAACTTAGTGTTCATCCTTACTAATATTATAAATCGGACAGTGAGTTTGTTTGTTTGTTCCGACTTCACGCCGTAACTAATAAACCGATTGCATTGAATTTTTGCAGACGTAAAGTTAGTAGTCTGGATTAAATAATAGGGGTACTTTTCATCCCGAAAAAATTTGATATTCCCGAGGGAAAACAAAAATATTGGTATAGATGGCGCTGTTTGTATTGGTATATGTCACATATACAGCCTTGGCCAAAAGTATTAGGCACCCTATGAATTATTTCATATTTTTGATTTAGAGAGAAACAAAACTACTTTTGTTGATTAATTAACTTTATTTCTATTAAAAACACACAAAAACATTAATATTTTGTTGGATCACCCTTTGATTTTATTACAGCAGCAACTCTGTGGGGGTTTTTTTTTTTTTTTTTTTAAGGGGGGAAAATCATCGAATGACTGCCCCCGCCTGGGTGAGGCGGGAGGGAGTGTCAGACTCTTACTGACTAAAAACCACCCCGTTCCTTCTCCTGCACGTCGAGCCGGAGCCCCGGTTACCCGTTAGGTTCTCCGCGACTCCGAATCGGCATCGGCCCTATTGGACCCCATCTGTGGTGGTCTGATGGCTCTTTGAGGCGCGCGCGGAACGCGACGCGCCGTACGCTCGGGTCTGTTTCTGGTCGGACGGGGAGCCACCCATGCTCGCCGTCCGCAGGCCCGCGCTTACGGTGGCCGGAGATCGTCCCGCGATCCCCGACGCCCGGTGTGTCCTTCGCGATGGCTGGGTTGCGAGGAGGCAGCGCTTCGCTGCCTCACGCGTCCCGCCTCCTCCTTAGCTAGCATGACTGCTTCGCAAAAGGAGGAGACGGCATCCCAATCCCCCTCGCTCCGCATCATGGCCTGCACTAGGCCCGGACGCGAGAGGTCGCCATCGCCGATCACTTCCCTAAGGACACGGCGGTGCTCAGCCCACGAAGGGCATTCTCCCACCGTGTGTTCCACCGTGTCCTCAGGGCGGTCCTCGCAGTGATGACACCCGGGCGTTTCCTCCCGCCCCATCAGACACAGGTACCTCCCGAAACTGCCATGTCCGGTGAGGACCTGCGTCAGGCGGTAGGTGAGGACGCCGTAGCGTCTCTCAAGCCACTCCTCAAAGAGGGGACTTACCGCTGCAATGGCAGCGAGCCCAAACTCTGTGGGGTATACTGCGTACAAGGTTTACGCATTCCTCTTGAGAAATTGCTTCCCATTCGTGAACTAGAGCCTGTTTTAATGCAGTTTTTGATGTTGTGGAATATATTTTGATGTCTTTCTTTAAAATACCCCACAAATGTTTAATTGGATTTAGATCCGGGAACTGGGCAGGCCAATCTAATAGGGCAATACAGTTTTCAGTAAACCAGTGCAATGTGTCGCTGATTTATGACAAGGCGCGTTTTCCTCGTGAAATTTAACCCGTGTAAATTAGTGTTACCAAAAATACACTAATTTGAAGGTATAAGAGCACTTTCTAATACATTTATGTATTTTTCACTGGTTCATGCGACCTTCGTAATTGCACATTTTGCCGACTTCATTCGCAGCCATGCAGCCCCAAATCATTACGAGGCTTCTGCCATGTTTTATGGTTGGGACTACGCAATCTGGGTGATATTCCTGGCCTCTGCGACGGCTCACAAACGTCACACCTGGTTTTCCAAATACCTGAAATGATAAAACAAAATTGACACAATACAAATCTTTATAACATTTGAGTTTGAAGACTAATACAATAACAATCGTTGCAATTGTGTAATAGACTCAATTAATAAAACTTACTTCAAAGTTTGATTCGTCAACCATGGTACATTGGACCAATACTCCTCTGTACAATGTTGGTGTCTCAGAGCCCAACCAAGACGTTTTCTTTTGTTCTCTGCTGAAAGCCACGGCTTCTTTCTGGCATTGTAACCTTTTAAACCTGCTTCTATTAGCGTTCATCTTGTAGTCCGAGTGCTTATGGGTTTACCAGCCTCTTTAGTTAAAGCTGCAGCAAGCTCGAAAGTAAATTTTTTTCGGTCTTTGATACACTCGCGGTTATATTTCCTGTCCTGGTGGCTAGCAGTCACGTTTTTTCTGCCTGTTCTTGGTTTATTCGCATTAGTACCAGTCCCATCAAAACGTTTAATAGAAGATTGAACTGCACATCGCGAATATTTTACCAGCTTCACAATTTCTTTCTGGGTCTCTCCTTGCTAATGTAAAAGTTTGACTTATACACGATTTTAAGACAAATTTCGTTTCTAATTAGCATTTCCAAATAAATTTGTTCTCTATTTAATCAAAAAACTACAAATGTTCTGTCTTTATGCGAAGACTTCCAAATGCAGACTGATCAAACATTAAAAGTAAGTTTTGTAAAAAAATAATATTTCGTTATTGATGCACCATATGTTATACAACCACTTAAATATTGCCGCCCAATATCTTAAATAGTGGTTTATGACCCCGAGATCATCTTTCAAAAGAATATTTACTCATTGCTTAAATAGCACGGGTGTACGGGAACTTTATTGGGGGTGCCTAATACTTTTGGCCAAGGCTGTAGACTACTTTTTATCCTTTTGTGACGCGAGCGAAGCCGCGGGTAAAAGCTAATTACAAAATAAATTAACATATTTTGCTCTCAAAATTTATGTTTTTGCTTAACAAAATCAATATAAAAGTTTCCTATAAAACTATCTTTTCACTCGCGGATTTGCGTGTAAGAAATTTAGACAATTTCGTTTTTAGGTCCCAATTCTGTTAGAATTTCCGAATAAAAAGTATCTTAAGTTAAGTCTCTTTTAAAAGAAAACTTCTTAATGTCGAATAAACATTTAGTCGAGTAATTTCGGTGTTTATTTAATGCAAAACATACAATACAATCAAATCAATCACTCTCTTTCTCTAATTAGTCTAAAGGCCGATTTTTCAATGCTCAGTTAAATAGTGTAGGAGAGCCATACTTCAGCACGAATGGGCCGGCTCGACCGGAGTGATACCACGGCCTCACAGAAAACCGACGTGAAGCAACGCTTGCGTTGTGTTTCGTCGTGTGAGTTAGGTTACCGGAGGCCCAATTACCCTCCCCTTCCCCTATCTCCCCAATCCCTGAATCCCCAACGATCCTCAAACTCCTAATCCCCAAAAGCCGGTAACGCACTTGTAACGCCTCTGGTGTTCCAGGTGTCCATGAGCGACGCCGATTGTTTACCATCAGTTGATCCGTCTGGTCGTTTACCGGCTTTTGAGATAAAAAAAAATATCACAGGAATAACTTTGAATATTTGACAATTCTTCCATACTAATAACTGTCAAATGTCAATATTAATCTACAGTTAAGAATAAACTGATGATTGAAAAATAAGCCCTAAATAAAATGTCAAAATATAATTATGTAATGAGGTTTCTCCAAAAGCAACCCTAAACAAACAAACAATAGAGTCTCAAATAAATTAACAGTTGTTTGAACTTTGATTGTTATTAACATATTCGGTGACACTGATACGGTAAACATATGATATCACGTCTTTCCAACACTCTCGTGTTGTTTTTAAGTCAATTATATGTCCTTAATCGATTGTGACTTACTAAAGTCCAATTTTACGATAGCCTCTTGAGCAAAATACATGTTAGGTATTACCTAAGTCATTGTTTACTTAAAAGTCTGGGTTTGAAATGGCATCTAGCATATTGGCAAAAGAATCGCTCAAGAATATTTACTTTAAACTTTATCCTTTATACATGAAGAGGGTTTGCCATAAATCCCACAGTAAGCAGAAACTGTAGAACACCAATTGCTACGATTCCTACATACTTCTTTCGCTTCCTCAACAGTCATCAGTCTTTTCATGCATGATTGTCAGTTAAGGGTACATTTAAATTGGCCCTTCTTTAATATATCGCCAATTTAGTCAATATACATTTCAAATGAAGGAACATATTACTAAGTAGTTAATATAGCTAGTGAAAAAAGGCAAATTTACTATAGTATTTAGTAGTATGAGTAAATTTTTTGCTTCTACGCAAGATAACAAAAGGTTACGACCGCATATGATGACGTAGAAGAACAGACAAAATAAGATAGGCCTCGGTTCTGACGTCATATGTATGTAGATAAGAAAAATATTGAATCATTACTATTATCATATTTACTAATGATCATAATAATGCGTCATCTCGAATTTGGGGCAAATAATGACACAATTTTAAGATGATATTAATCAAACTGGGAACCTATTTCGTACCTATTATGTATGTTCCTTGTAATCGGAAATTAAAGCCCAAATTATTTATCTCACTAATATAAATAAATGTGAAAGTTAATTTGTTTAGATGTATATCCGTCAATCACGCTGAAACTACTGAACGGATTTTGATGAAATTTGGTATACAGGCAGGGTATTGGCTGGCTTAGGGGATAGGATACATACATACATATTTATATCTTAATCCCGATTTCATTGCAAGGAGGATTTAGCTCCCATGGGATAAAAACAGGAATCAGTTCATCTAATGGTACAAATGCGGAAGGGTGTTTGATTGTCTGTTTCATGTCATAAAGTATTTTTGTTTGTTTTATGGTCTGGTTAGGACTAGTTAGGAAACTGGTAATATGACCAAAATATGGCGGTGGCCCTGAGGTTTAACACGTTTGCTTCTCATGCACGAGGGTGCGGGTTCGAAACCTACCAACGGCAAATACAAATGTGACGTTTTCCGAGTTCTATGCACTTTCTAAGATTATCTAGACACTACTAACAAACGGTGAAGGAAAACATCGCGAGGAAACCTGGGCTTATAATTTATAATAAGTTTGAAATCGCCAACCCGCAATGGATAAGCGTGGTGATTAATGCGCAAACCTTTTCCGTATGAGAAGAGGCTTTGGTCAGCAGTGGGAATTTATAGGCTGTTGATGATGATGATGATGAATTTCTAATCTTATAGGTATTGGTTTCCCCCTTAAAAAAAATATTGGTAGAAGATCTCTAAACAACCCTTACCTAATTCCACCAATTGATCGATGGCATTCTCAGCACACAACTTGATGTGGTGGATAATTTCTAGAGGATCCTGTTCTGACCATCCTTCGTGGGGCTGGACCTCTGTCTTGTCCATCTGATAGGCCACCAGCTCATCTGATCGGCCAGCTTCATATATCTGGAATTTAAAAATTAATAGTAGTTTTCTTTTTCTTTAAAAAAACGTTGCTCCACACTAGGATTTTCTCCTGTGTCGTGAGTGCGTTTACAAACATACAAGTTTACATACACATGACACCCAGACCAGGAACAACAATCTGTGGATCACACAAACAGTTGTTCCGTGCGGGAATCGAACCCGCGACACGTTGCGCGGCAGCCAGTTGCCCAGCCACCGCTCCAACCGTGCAGTCAAGTAGTAGTTATAAGATCAACAAGTGAATAAGATAATTAATTGTTGAATTATTTGCAATCGGGTCGTATATTAGGTCACGAGCGTCCCAAAACCTTGTGATCGACGGGTTTCGGGTGTGATGCCCCGGGTAGACAGAGGCAAAGTACCTACCTATTTTATTATTTTCAACAATTTCTCTGTAACGCACGGAACGGAGGCTGAATGGCAATAGTCAAACCCCCTATTACTATTGAGACTCTCGCATCAGTGATTGTGACATTGTGTACCTATATGCACGTTGGGGATTAAAAGGCTACTTATATGATTGAAATTTTGTCAAGCAAATTGGCACTATAATTCTGATCATTACAAAGCATTAATTTATCAAGCGAATCGAAAGAGAAATTGTTAGACCCTAAAATTATCAGCCAGCCATATTGGTTGATAATAATATAATATCAAACGGCGTATCATTAATGTAAGAAAAAAGAAAAGATTTCAGCCATTATCTGATAAATTATTATGCTACAAACATAATTATTTTCCATTGATTTATCAGACAGACAATATTAGATCTAAATCGGATACTAATTAGTAAAATATTGCAAAAGGATCGCGTGACCGATAAGTATTTAAGTTCGATTGATTACGAAACTTTCTATACTCATTTTAAAGATTTGTTTCTTAATTCTTTACAACATTCAACATTCTGTGGCAGTATGAGTCTCCTCTTTACATTTAATTAAGGTTTGTCATAATCTCTACAGTATTTTTAAGGGAGACAAATCAGCCAATGACTTCTCCCGTCTTGGGTGAGGCGAGAGGGAGTATCAGACTCTTACTGACTAAAAACCACCCCGTTCCAACTTCTGCTCATTGAGCCGAAGCCCCGGTAATCCGTTAAGTCTTCCGCGGCTCCGTATCGGCATCAGCCCTACTGGGCACCATCTGTGGTGGTCTGATGGCGTGCGGACATCTCCACGCTTGGCAGTTGAACTGGAGACACTAAATGTATTGAAACATATTTGTCACAGAATGGACTTTGCCTTTACCAGACGACATTAAGTCTCATTCTATTTAAAATTAATACGCAGTAACAAAATGGGTTCAAACATCTCGATTAAACCAGTAAACGTGATCAAAGTTCACATTTGATTCAAATTGTTATAAAAACATTTAGTTTCGTTTATGTATCGCCCCGCCTTCTATCTGTGACCTCGAAATATATAATTTTGATTGTATTAATGTCTATACGTTGTGTACTTAGTTAATAAACATTACAATATGATCAGTACCGTGACGTACTCATTAGTTTTGATGTACCTACTAAACCAAACAAGGAAAAAACTTCTGCAATTTATAAGAATCGGTACCTATCTGTTATGTCCTATTGGTCGTTGTTAGCGTTTAGCTAATTTAATAAAAGTGAACAATAGTTTGGCCGCCATCCCGTTTAAGGTTGAGTCGAGACGATAAACCGTAAGACATGTACTTAACTATTACTATTAGTCCACTTCATCAGTCTTTTTAAGCACATCTTCAAAAGGCCTCAACTTCGTCGTTAGTTATTCCCTAGTTTCGTATTACCACATACTATATCGAACGCCCAAGCTGTGTGAAGGGGCTTTTAACCCCCGATAGAATAGTCCAGGGATCGAATCATTGGTACGCGTGCCGTTGATGACTCGGACCACAACATTTTGGGCACGACAGTGACTACAAAACTGATGAATGATCAGAAACCTACAACGCATTTGTGGTGTCTTGAACATTGCTGATGTCCTCAGACTGCTTACCAGGTCAACTGTATACATTATTGCTACAGATTTACTGTAAATATCAGTCGATGGCACACATAAAACCGTAAAATACTTTTCTTCAAAGTAATTGGCACGCTAATGTGTAAAGGTTCGCTTTCCCTGGAATAGTCGGTAGGCTGATGTGCACCTCTTTCAGTGTACCATCCATAATTAATTAGCTATGGAATGTCAAATTATAGGGTATGTCAAAAACACAGATTACTTACCACAAATCTAACAGTCTTGGTGCCATCATCAATAACGCCGACCAATGGCCGCTTAGGGCCTTCCCTGACTGGCATTGTGCTGCCTGGAAATAAAAGAAGACGCTATTAAATAACAGACAAATAAAAAAAGACTTAAATCTAGTTAAATATGCAACCTGAAAAAGAGTAGACTTAAAAATTGGCAACCCATCATAAAATGGACCATTTTCAGAAAACTGACAAAGACACATTTTATGTTTTTTCTCCTGGCGGTTATCCAACTGGATCAGTATCACCAGATACTCTTACAGACTAATAAAACTACTAGCTACTTCCGCGCGGTTTCACTCACTCTGCTCGGTTCCTATTAATCGTAGCGTGATATTTTATAGCCTATAGTCTTCCTCAATAAATGAGCTATCCAACACAAAAAGAATTATTTAAATCGGACCAGTAGTTTCGGAGATTAGCACGTTCAAACAAACAAACAAAAAAATACTCTTCAGCTTTATAATATTAAATATAGATTTGCATTTATGTCTAAGTTAGAAATTCCATTATTTGAAACTTATTGCACAAACAAAAATTCTATAGTGCGCAATTCGCCTTTGTGTACACAATATATCTGTGATATTTCGTACAAATATATGAAAAACCGTAAAATCAAAGATTGCTTCATTTCAAACAATTACTTGAAATTATTTCATCATTATGTATCATCGCAGACTAGTAGATTAACCAAAGGTTACTACGATTAACTTAAGCATTATCAATATTATAGTTGCTAAGGTTAATTATAGACGGGTTTAAAATCTATCGTAATCTTTACGACTTATAATTTTATAAACAAACGTCGGTGCTTCTCAACTCGTTGGTATAAGGTCGGAATGCCATCAACGGTCTCAGAAGGTAATTCCTCGTATGTACCTATTATCTTTTCTTATTCTGTGTCTGTAGGTATCAAAAGATTTTATATAAAACGATGAAGGCAATTTCATAATCACGCCTCAAAGTCAAAGCATTTATTTCAATTAATCCTTAATTAGGCACTTTTGAATCGTCAAAAATTTAATTGTCCGTCCTTCGGATCGAGCGCCTAGCTTCACTAACAGTCAGACTGTCTGACCTCTGCCTACCCCTTCGGGAATAAAAGACGTGATGTTATGATTTATATAGAAATCTTTTAATATCAACGCCTGGTAGATACTCTAATTCATTTTACAACCCTAAAAAGTATTCATAACGAAAATTTTCCACAAACCAGAAGATAACAATCATCTATTTATTCATTCTTCGCTAGAGAGATAAGTTTTAATTATCATAAATCCTTCATACCAACTAATATACCAATTAAAACTAATCTTTATACTAATTACTGTATCTATGAAATAAACACGTGTGTGACTACGATTGTATGAAAATACTAAAGTAGATAATACAGTTATACGTTATCATACTCATTGTAAAAGAGAATTGGTTGAGAATTACCACGACTTGCTTAGGGAAAGTACCCCAGAAGGTATTTTTCCTAGATATTAACTATATGAATTACTACTATAGTCAGGATATTTATATTATAACTTTCGTCAGACATACTAGGTAAGGCTGAGATACTACTGTAGTCAGGCTAAGATCTATCTGAAATCTGTTAACAAACCATAAACGCAGATCCACACTATACCGCCTTCTTCTTTTTTTTTAATATTTGATGGGGCGACGTTTGACCACTATCTCGCCTGGTGGTAAGCGATGATGCGGTCTACGATGGAGCACGTCGTCCCATAAGCAACCTATTCACTCGGGCCTTGAAGACTCCCAGGTTATACCCTTCAGGAAATACAGACTCTGGCAAAGAATTGTATCCAGTAGAAAACCGAAAGGCTTGCAACCTTACGCCTGTGCTCGAGGCTTTGAAGCCGAGCCTTCACAAGCGCATTCTTTTTCGCTCAATTTACAAATTTCTATTTGGTACTGGGGTCTTACTTTAATGTACTGTTTAAATAAATTACCACGTATTTGGATTATATACCACCACCAAGTATTTGGAAAGGCGGTAAGTTTAAACCTACCTAGATCGTAATCTGAACCATTAATATAATTGCTAACCTTTTTACGTTTTCTTCAATAAAATCTATTATAACGTACTTACATCAACACGGCGTCACACCTGTGACCGATAGAATTAGTAGAACGCCAAAAACGTCGACATCACTCAAACTTCTATTTTTAGTAAGATAGCCATAATCTATCGATCGAAATTCGCTGACAAGACCTCAAAGTACAGGCAAAGGATTTAAAACTAATAGCTAAGATTTAAGCTAGTCATACAAAATATTCTCCAACAAATTTTTATTAAATCGTGATAGATCTATGTAAATAAAAATGAATTTCCGTTCGTTAGTCTTGCTAAAACTCGAGAATGGCTAAACCGATTGGGCTAATTTTGGTCTTGAAATGTTCTTGGAAGTCCAGGGAAGAATTAAAAGGTAAATAAAAATTATAGGCGGTAGGAAGTACGCCTGGTCCGCTAGTTATAAATCAAAAGACGGCACGAGACCTAGGACTGACATTAGGGTATTAGATGTTACCTTCAAAGAAAAAGAAGATAACTATTTTATACGAATATTCATCGAACCCTTTTTGTCAATATAGCATAGAGTATACAGGGCGTAAGTAAACAACTGTACAACATCGATCGATATCCCGTGGGCGGAATTTGACTGTTCAATTCGTAGAATGGTTTTATTTTCATTATCTCTAAATCGTTTTTACGAGGTTTATCCATATGAAATACTGTAACGTGACATCATGGGTTTATCCCTGAAGGATTTGTCGGAATTACAACAACAGCAGTCTAATTTTTCTATTAGAAAGTCACTGAGTTGACATGGATATCCTTTTGATCAAATATTCAGGAGTTGCACTTGCGACTCAAAAACGCAATGTAGTGAACCAATGTAGATCCTTAGGAATATAGTGAAATGTAGCGATATTTTTATTCTTTGTTACACTGGTAAACAAATCGGTACGTGGACATGATTGGTACAGCTATTTATATGATAGAAGCCTTAGTTATTGTGATTGCTCGGCGTTTACTCCGCACTGAATTGTATTACACGAAGCATATTAGCAGATACGGTGCATTACATTATAAATCTATGCGATAGTATCTATTCAAACAGGTTTACTTATCTATCCAAAACTATTTGGAAAGGATGGTCTATTCTGATTTATATCGTATACCTTTCTAATGTCGCGGAGAACCTAACAGGTTACCGAGGCTCCGGCTCGAAGTGCAGGAGTAGGAACGGGGTGGTTTTTAGTCAATAAGGGTCTGACACTCCCTCCCGCCTCACCCAGGCGGGAGCAGTCATTCGATGATGTTCCCCAGTTAAAAAAAAATACCTTTCTAATATCGCCAAATCAAAGAGAAATCGGGCATCCGCAAACAGCATATACACAAAATCTACCATATCTGTCTACTACGTACGTGCTTTTATCATTTTCAAAACACTGTTTATTGGATAAATGCAAACATTAGACACAATCTAAATCTATAACACTTAATCCTCCAATCTTTATAAGCGGCGCACAATAACCCCAATTAATTTATGTTTTCAGATCACAATCAATTTACAACTGCAGTCCTAAGTGCAAGATGGTATCGGAACACCTAAATTGGAGATAACAAATTGTATAAGACTGAAAGAATAGTGTAGAGGTTATGTAACCAGCTGCTTCAAAACATTCTGAAGATCCGATTCAACACGGAAACCAAGATTCATTTCAGATCACCCCAATTTGTGTCTGCCAAAACAATTTTCTAACATGGCACCACCGATAGGGCAGTTTCCTAAATTTTATTTTAATGTCCGTCTCGTACATTAATTTAAAACTTTACACGCGTATTTTTTCTTTTCTCACAAAATTAAATACTTTCGACGATATACTAATTTAAAATATCGTGTGACGTCACACCGTGATACATTTTGTAGCACGTTATGACGTAACGACCTCCCACTCTTAAACTTAGCGCCATTTTATCTAAGTATTGCAACTTAATACGAGAAAATAAATAAAATACGTGTTTAATATTTTTTCATTACCTTACTGACGGACTAATTAGATTTTTAATTTTCACACTCTGGAAACTAGCCCACTTTCCTATAACTCATTTAGTATATTATGTCTATATTTGAGAGCTACTTCCCATTAATCTATCCTGTACCTGTTCCACCTACAGGACATGACAGTATCTATTAAGACTCAGTTCCCCCATACGGCCGGATTCTTCTCTAGTGCACTTCATTTAGCTTTTCCTGCGCGTGATGCAGTTGGAACCTTGAACATTAGTTAAGGAAAATCTTCAACTAATCTCAAAACTCGTTGGTAGTTGTATAAAGTGGGAATTACCAACGTCCTACGATCATTAACACCGATTATGGAAGTCAATTTAAACATGTTTTATCGCTATCAAGTAACTATGATCCCGGAAAAAACGTTGTTCCATAAGCATTTGCTTATCTGGTTTGGTTTATTGTGAAATAAGTTCTGAAAATAATTCGATAATAGAGACATCAGCAGCTGTAGCCAAAAGCCATTTAGCGCTTGTCTACATGTAGAATAGAAAACCAAATTATATGGAATTGATGTAAATTTTGACACTTGTCAGTGTCATCCCCATACATTTTGATTTCTACTCTCACTGTAGACAAGCGCTAAAGTGGTTTTTGGCTAGAGGCCCAGTGGTCTACTTAGAAAACTTCTAGTTTGATATAAAATACCGATTTTCTTAAATAAAAAATAATGAACGAGCGTTCCTCTGCCTGTTTAATGTTCGTCGTAATATTACACCGACAGAGAACCGATAAAAATCTGAGGAAATAATAGGATTTTTAACTTAACAAAGCATAAAGAAATGGCTTCGTTTATGAGCCACCGATTACCGATAGTATAGCGAACATAAAATAAATGGATTATTCATGTCATCATTTGCAGTAGAATTTTACTTCATGCGTAGTAACGGGTGGTAAGTAACGGTAACAAAATAAGTTTGCAGACTTTTTATGTCTTGTGCGTTGCCGGGGTCTTAAAATAAGGAGTA